TGGATCTGTTCAAATATCATTGATAGCCTTGTTTTTAAAAGGTAACTTTGATTTCTTAGCTGCTGTACGAACTGCTCCTTACCACAGTTGGGCCAATCCAGCTGAATGTATAATGTCAATATTAAATCTTGCTTTGCAAGGTGTTGCTTTGAAGCGAGAAGATATGAGTGGATTATCAGAACAAGCTGTTTAAAACTTTATCTGAAATCCGTGAAGAAGCTAATTCTAATTCACATTTAAAAGAAGAGCTTATTAAATCAATTAAAATTACTCAAGAATTCCTTGAAAATCGTATTTCACGACTTTCTTTACATGATTTAAAATTCAAAATCACTTCTCCTGCCATAGAAACTGAAATTGATTCTTTATTTGAGGTATTTTTTATATTAATATTTGCTTAAATTTATTTTTGTTAATCATTAATATTATAATAGTCTATATTAACAGCTGAAAGTCAGCTTACAATTAATGATACAACGCTAGTAGAATTAAGAAAATTTCATAAATTAAAGGAATTTATTGATACGCATTGTCAAATTAGACAATATTCATTTCAGGTATGTCAAATAGAGTAAAATGCACTTATATATATTAATTGTATTCGAAATTTATCACAAAACTCTAATTTATGCAGATTAAGAAATGCAATAATAGTGAATGTACTATCTGTTTACCAGTTGAATTACCAATTGAAGTATTTGATGAATTGCATTTTTTGCCTGATACTGAACCATCTATTGGTAAGAATTATACAACCTTTTTGCATAAAGTGCTCAAAATTCTAATTATGTTTTTGGGCATTTTTATTTTAGCTGATTCTAATCATTATAAGGATTTTACAAGTATATATGAAACTCAAACATCTGAAAACTTTCGTCCAAGTAAAGCAGGACAACTAGAAGCTGATAATTTACCCCAGGGCATTTTCAATAATAATCGTGTTCGCGAATTCGTTGAATGTGATTTTTGTGGAAAAATTAGATGCATTTATAGTATGAGTGCTTTAAAAAAAGAGCAGATATCCACATTACAGCTCAAAATAAATGATAATGATTTTACTTGTGGAATTGAAGAATGGATGCCACCTTAACATGAGCTGAAAGGTATTGTTTTTATTCGTCAATCTCTTAGCTGTGATTCTCCAATTGAAAGTGGTTATTATTCAAATCGCCTAAAAAAACCTCCTATTTGTTATTATTGTGGTAAAAATAATTCATTGGTGGAGGCAACTGACGATTTACTTCATGGATATCAATCTGTATATCCACTTTGTTCTAATTGTCAACTTTTGGGTCATTCTTTTCATACTTGGGGCAAGAAAAAAGTTGGTGAATTAACAAGAAAAAGGAAAAGAGAATAATTTTTGTATTATATAATCTTTTAATAAATAATTTGTTAAGTAAAATGATTGTTATTTTATCTTTATTATCATATTTTTATAAAATCACGTGATATACAAAATGTACATTTAAATCTGAATTTTTTGAAATAATGAGGGGGGTTGATGTTAAACGAGACGATTTGTTGGAACGGCCTTATTAATAAATAAAATTGTAATAAATTATGTAAAATTATTAAACCAGTGTTTTAAATTGTCATGGTATTTGCACTAAATTGTTTAAAATTATTACTAAATTTCACTCAATTGTCCAAAATTATTGCAAAATTTCACTCAATTGTCCAAAATTTTTGCAAAATTTCACTAAATTATCTCCGAAAATATTGCATTTATACTGTTTATGCTCAATTGTCCAAAATTGGCAAAACATTTTCACTCAATTGTCCAAAATTATCTTAAATTTCACTAAATTATTCAAAAATTTAGCAACATTTACTGAAAAAATGCAAAATTCACCACAATTTACATTACATTTGCATAACATTGCTGAAAAATTCACCTAAATTTCAATAATTTACATAACATTACTAAAAATACACTACAATTTACTACAATTTGCATTACGTTTGCATAAAATTATTAAAAATTTGACTAAATTCATCACAATTTGCATTACGTTTACATAAAATTACTAAAAATTTGACTAAAATTTACACAATTTGCATTACGTTTATATAAATACATAAAATTACTAAAAATTTGATTAAATTCACTATAATTTGCATTATGTTTACATAAAATTACTAAAATTTTGACTAAATTCACCACAATTTTCATTACGTTTGCATAAAATTACTAAAAATTTGCCTAAAATTTACACAATTTACATTATATACGTTTATATAACATTACTAAAAATTTACCTAAAATTTCCCACAATTTAATGATAATTTACTGAAAAATTTCTCAACATTTGAATTAGGAATTCTGTAGGATTGACGCCATTTTGATAAAATTTGCCAAATTGTAAGTTCTCTATTATCCCAAAATTGTAACCCAATTTATCCAATTTACTGGGATAATTCTCAATTTGCCAGAAAAATTCTAGGCAAATTTTGCAACAATGACATCTGTTCAATCTGTGTTTGGTCTATAAGAATATCCCTAGTTGTTGCTCTATTATTCACATAACCATCTATAGCATTTGCTAACTCTATGATTGTAGTCATATTATCATCAAAATTATACAAGTCTGGAGAATTTCCTTGTTCAGGCGAATTTTTTTGTGATGAGATACTTCTGATCTGATATCGCAATTTCTTAACTTGTTCCTCAGATTCTACTAACTGCTTTTCTAAACTAGAAATATATTTTCCCTTATCTCGCACATCTTTTCTAGCTTGATATAGCTGACTTTTTAGAGTAGAGATTTCAGATTTTAACTCTACTATCTTTTCTTTCAAAGTATTTTCAAGGCGCTCTATCTCTCTATTGAAATATTGAATTTCTTGCTCACATCGGATATAATCCCGTTCCAGTTGATTAATTCGTTTCTCATTCTGGCGATTAATATCAACTTTTGTCTGCAATTCACTACAAAGATGATAGTTCTCTTTTTTCAGCTCAGCTTTATGTTCTTCACATGTTCTTCTCTGCCTTAGGTGAGATCTGCAAAATGACATTTTTTTTTCATAATTATAAAAGAGAATGAAAGAACCTTTGATTTATATTGATCCTCAGAAAGTGCATGATCTTAACTGGAATTTTACTTTGCAAAAGTACAAGGAAAAAAGTACCCTCAACTAATGAGAAGAATCTGACTTTATAGATGCCAGCTCTTTTTCTGTCTCTTCTACTTGCATCTTTAGATTATCAATTTTACATCATAATTTTTTATTTGCATTAACTTGCTTCCTATATTTCTTTTCTATATCTAGTATAAATTTCTCAAAAGTTTGACTATCAAGTAGGTGCTGGGATAGTACTTTAAGCTTATTCATACTTGATATTTCTTTGAAAGATAAAGATATTTGACACTCCAGCCAACTTTGGGTTCATCTCTGGCACATTAATCTCTTTTGGTATTTAATAGCTTCATGTTTTAAAAATGATTCTACAATTGGATTAATTTAGCTGGCCTCTTTCTCAGATAATGGTTTGCGTTTCCATGATGTGAGATGAATCCATGCCTTATTTATTAGGGAAGCTGGTAATTTTGCTAGCAAGTCAGAATATGCCTGGTTAAATGCCATTATATATTTATACATTGTGCAAAAAAAATATGGAATTTTATGGAATTTCAAAAAATAGACTACCAGTGTCAGTTTTAATATAATACAAATAATACATTTATGGCCTTTTTATAAATAAGAAGAGACATACTAGAATTTGTTTTTTTTTTAGTAAGAGATGTGTATACTTATATTTTATAATGATGCAGGTATCATATCCAATGCCTTTGGCCAAATTAGCATATTGCTATTTTAGTGTGATTACCATTACATTACTTAAAAGCTAATCTAGAATAGGCAGATCATAATCTTTATTCTGCATAAACCTGCAGTAGTACATTTCATTAGATGGATCAAAAATTTATGTCATACATGCCTAGACCATAAGGTGTGGACAATATATTATTTTATTAAGACAATATTTGGGATCTGGGTTAAGAACTAATCTGGAAAATTGGGCAGATGATACATTTCATGTATAGTGTTTTTGACCAATTTTACTAAGTGATCATGTATATAGATTATTTAACATAAAAAATAAAGAATAAGTTATACATTGCACCTTTAGCTAAATAATATTAATTTTCAGTTAAAAGCAATAGTCTATAATGTAGAATATTTCTCAGAATCAGTCAAGTTAGTTAGACAATTGTGATTAGTATTCCATCCCTTAATCTTAACGCAGTGCCTTTTGGCTATTTTGTATACTGAGACGAGATAAATATTTCGCTTGTATCACTTTTGCAATTTGATAACTGATAGTAAGAAGTTAGTGGAATTATTTCTTACTTGGCAAGTGAAATATAAGCTGGCTAAAAATTTGAAGCACTTGGATAGTATTTTCTGCTATAGTTGCTTTAGCCTGCATATAAGCTTCATAGAGAATTGTACGAGTATCATAATCATATGATATCAATGCCAATTTATCCTTTTCTGAGTGTGAGGTAGATTGGGAAAAAAGCTTTAGGCGAAGACGCTTCAGTTTTGCCTCTTCTCGTAATATAAATTATTTATTTTGCCAGATGCTAAATTCTCTACTATCAATAGATTGGAGAATTTCATTTATTCTTGCATATTTATTTGAAATAGTATTTCCAGAAATACATCTCTTCAAGTAGTTATCTCGATAGTGATCCTCAAAATGACCATTTGCAGGTGTGAAAACTAATGAGTCACATATACTGCAATATATATAATTGGTTAGATCCTATCATCTTCATATAGTTTTCCATACATTGTAATATATCCATTCTTAGAAAGGATTCTTGGGTTCTCTTCTAGTATTTTCCTAAATAGATTACGAATACAAGAGTACTACATTTCTGGTGTTTCATAATCATGTCTTTCTGCTAAAGGCAATATTGCACCAACTATTTTTGTATATTCTCCAGAGTCTACATCTTTATAGTATAGTTCAATTAGCTTAGAATAGGCTCTACTATCTAAATCCATATTAGTATTTTAATAGTTTATAACAAATTATAGCAATTATAGCTGATTTATAGTGGTTTTAGTAATTTTGGTATGTTATATTGATTCTTTATCAACCTATACTAGACAATATTACCATTCAAATTTATACAGATTTAACTGGTTAAGAGATTTATAGCAATTTCACTGTTTTTTATCAATTTATAGTGATTTATAACAGTTTGTAACAACTATATTATAATAAAATATCAGATTCATTTTTATTCGATTACAAGCATATCAGGATTTATATAGGGTCATATCTCGGGCTAAGCTAATTTTGTATCACATGTGATCTCCCTAAATTAGGGATGGGGCATTTCACGACTTAGCGACTTGAACACAGTTCGAAACCGAGAACGGAACTGAAACTGAAAACCAGTTCAGTTCTTTGGAATTGAGTCGTTCGACTTGAGCAGCTTAATTTTGTTCAGGATATTGATATAATTTTTTAAGAACCGTAAAGATCATTAACATCACACTAGTAATAATAGGCAGTCACCCGTTGCTTTACATCGGGACCAATGAGTTTGTTTAGATAGAAAATTTTAGTATCATAATGTAATACTTAAGGTTGCTTGTCTAAACCTCTTCAAAATCCTACGATTAGTTTCGTCAAAATTTTACTATAGATTTATTATAGTTTCGGCAAAGTTTCGGCAGTTTCGGCATTTATAATAAGTTTCGGCAGTTTCGCCTTTCTCCAAAGTTTCGCCAGTTTTTTAATATAACTTTAATATAGTTTCGGCAGAATTTCGCTTTTCGGCAAAACGCCATCTTGCCTAAACCCCTAGGTTTCGGCAAGCAACCTTAGTAATACTAAGTAAATTAAAGATGGTTGTAATAGTTTTTTGTTTATAATTAGGAATTTAATATGGTAATAACTAATTAGTTAACAAAAAAGAATAAAATAATATGTATTAATTATTAATGATTTGACGTTTGAGTGTAGAATGAAATTTGGATTAATTAAAAAATTGTAAAAAAATAAAAATTGATTAATTTTTTTTAGAAGTATTTTCTAAAAAACTTTATTGCCGTTTTCAGAAATGTTGGCACTCAATGTGTCAATCATTTTTACAAAACGAACACACCGAACACACCGTAAACACATATAAAAAATTATGAGAACTTGAAGTGTGCGTATATAGTTTTACATAAAAACTATTTTTATCAATTTTTAGTTATGAAAAAAATTGAAAATGTTAAAATTTATACCGAACACACACCGAACACAACTGAACACAACCAAACACAACCAAACACACTGAATATAAGCGAATACAAGCAAATACAAGTGAATACATATATATAAATAATATAATTTTTATACATTTTTTTATGCACACTACCTAAAAATATATTATCGAAGTCTAATTTTTTGTTTTATAAAGGAAAAAATTTTTTTTTCGCAATTTTAAT